GTATAATTACATGAGGTTGTATGAATGAGAATGTAATTCATATGATTTAGTGCAAATAAATAGGAAAATAATCTTTGAAGGGTGTATAGTTAGAGGACTTTAAAGTGACATCCCCAATCCCCCAACTTGGTTTATTGTTTTAGGTTCTGATACTAGATGTCACCCCCTAGGTGGAGGGAATCAATGAAACTCTAGAGTGAGAGTTAGTATCTTCCTTGCCTCGCCGGTCTTCAAAATTATTCAAACTTTAAATTAGTCAATGTTCTTTATAGCATCTCTAGTAAGGGTAACGAATATTATTGCTCCTATTTGGCACAACACAATTTGCATGCTTCCACAATAAAAATCCTATACTTATTACTTAATCAAGATAAGGAGAAAGATATTTTCATATTCAGTGTTTTTCTTCAACATAAACTCAAGTTATTTTTAGATGTTGTTACTGTTTTGTCAAAATATCAAAAATACCAAAGAGGTTTAAATTTTAATTACCATAAAAATATCTATAGTTTAAGTAATTGTCTTTTTAAAATAGAAAGTTTGTTGATCAATTATGCATATTGCTAATTTTTCCTATGGGTTCGATATTTAGGTGTTGACCTCATTTTTGGTTGAGGTTTAGTTTTTCCTATTTAGTAGCCTAAGGTTTAGCCATAGGATTTTCCTATTGACTATTTTTAGAAAACTAGACATGGAACCCTCGCCATTAGAAATTCCAAACTCTTCTCTTCTCAACTTGAAGTTCCACATGTTGGTCTCAACCTCTAAATACTTGGTAGGCGGGGTCACTATAGGGGAAACTCGGGATGAGTCACCCTTAGGATTGCTGGACCTTAGGATTGTCCTTGGGTGTTGGTCTGGAGTTAAGACATTCACTACACTCATCTACACTCACAATCACTCACAACCCTGAACTCAAATTTCTAGCCTAGATCCCTTGATCTTTTGGGATACTCATGTAGATGGTCTCCTAAACCTACTAGCTCTAGGGTTATTGGTTTGACTAAGACCACTATGTAGAGGACCCAAAATGGGGTTCTCATTGGTCCATGGCTTATTGGTGATGCTTGGTACCTCAAATCTACCGAAATACCCATCTTGACCATTTACCCCTAAAACACCCCAAATTACCAAAATACCCCTCTTGGACCCAAAATTCCAAAAATTTCCAAAATTCCCAGAAAATCCTAATAAATCCTAAATATTCCTAATTTCATTTTTTTCAACTACCACGGGGTCACTATAGGGGAAACTCGGGATGAGTCACCCTTAGGATTGCTGGACCTTAGGATTGTCCTTGGGTGTTGGTCTGGAGTTAAGACATTCACTACACTCATCTACACTCACAATCACTCACAACCCTGAACTCAAATTTCTAGCCTAGATCCCTTGATCTTTTGGGATACTCATGTAGATGGTCTCCTAAACCTACTAGCTCTAGGGTTATTGGTTTGACTAAGACCACTATGTAGAGGACCCAAAATGGGGTTCTCATTGGTCCATGGCTTATTGGTGATGCTTGGTACCTCAAATCTACCGAAATACCCATCTTGACCATTTACCCCTAAAACACCCCAAATTACCAAAATACCCCTCTTGGACCCAAAATTCCAAAAATTTCCAAAATTCCCAGAAAATCCTAATAAATCCTAAATATTCCTAATTTCATTTTTACTTGACCTCCAAATTGGCATCCAATTCATCTTGGAAACTCTTCATGAGGTCCCTATTGACCCTTGACCATTTACTACAATAAATTTCGACTTATCCCAAGGCTAACCCAAGCTAGACCCAAGCCTAGCCCAACATGACCAAATTGATTAAAGTTCAAAATTCCTTCAAATTGACCCCGCAATTGGACTCAAAACCACTTCTATCCTTCACCAAAGTTGTTCCTTATGATCATATACACAATTTTGATCAATCAATTGGGCCAATTTACATGGTTAGCCTAACCCAAACCCAAGATTTGGTCATTTGCACTCACTTGGACCCATGCACTAAATGTGACCTAACCACCCTAAGGCCACAAAATTAACTCCACCAGAGCCATTAGTTGGACTTA